TTTCTCATGGATGTTTCTATTTCTCTCTCCCTAAAAATCAATAAAGAAAAAAAAATTAAAATAAATAAATAAATAAATAGCGGAACACTATTTTATCCCCTAGAAACCAAATGGTTAAGGAGATGGAGTGAGAAAGGTGGTGACTCATGTGCTAGGAGCCTTTCCAAGGCTGGAGACAAAAACAGATTAGCTCTATATAATTTGCAAAGGCAAGTTAAGAGTCCAATACTTAGAGCTTTCAGGTGTGTTTTTTTTTTTTAATTAATTATTTTAAGAAATGCCACATCATGAACAGTCTTGGTGGCAAGGAAGATGTTGTGGGAATGAACATAGATATTGATGATTCCTAGTCAAAAAGTAATTTATTTATTTATTTTTTTGGTACATGTTCCTAGCGGGAACCGATCCCAGGACTCTCTGGTCTGCAGGCCGATGTTCCAACTGCTGAGCCAAACTGGCCAGGGCATAATTTAGATAAGGTAAAAATGTTAAGTTAGTTTTAGGAATCTCTTAACCAGTTTATTTTATTTATACTTTCCTTTTTATTAGCCATGAGAGTGATATATAATAAAAAAAACTATCTAATTAAGTCAAAGAGTTCTTCAATAGGTATAAAGTATAAATTCCAAATGAAGAAAATCATAGTTTGTCAGTATTTTTCTTTCTTAGTGGTACATAAAATAACAGTGGTACATAAAAATAGCTTTAAAATAGATGGTGCCCTGGCCGGTTTGGCTCCGCGGTTAGAGTGTCGGCCTGCGGTCCAGAGAGACCCGGGTTCGGTTCCCGCTAAGGGCATGTACCTCAGTTGCAGTTTGTCCCTGGCCCTGGTTGGGTCATGTGGGTGGCAACCACTCGATGTGTCCCTTTCACGTCGATGTTTCTCTCTCTCTCTTTCCCTCTGACTCTATCTGAACAAAATATGGAAAAAAGTCCTCGGGTGAGGATTAAAAAATAAAAATAAAAATAAAATAGATGGCATCTTCAATTACATGAAATATGATATACCAAGCATCTTAAACTTCTCTTTAATAACACAGTATAGATATGTCATTTATCAAAACATTTAAAAGCCATACAGACATCTCTAGCCTATCAATATGGTAATGAAGTACCAGAAACTCAGCTATACAAAGAGCCCTGCTCTGATTTTGGATACAAATAGTATTTTTTTAACTGATCTGGTCCACAACAGACTAGTGCAGTACTTGCCAAACTTGAGTATGTATGAGAATCACTCAGAAAGTTTGTTTTGGACCCACCCCAGAGATTCTGACATAGCAGAACTGATATGGGGCCTAAGAATTTACATTTCTGCCCTGGCCAGTGTGGCTAGGTTGGTTGGCCAGAAGGTCACAGGTTCCATTCCTGGTCAGGGCACATACCTAGGTTGCTGGTTTTATCCCCAGTAGGGGCATGGGCGTGTGGCAACCAGTTGATGTCCCTCTGTTTCTCATCTCTCTCTCTCCCTTACTCCCTCTCTTAAAAACAAAACAAAAAAACTCACTAAAAAATAATTTACATCTCTGACAAGCTCCCAGGTGATACTAATGATATAGGTTCACTGACCACACTTCACGAACATACTCGTCTTTCTACTATTGCCTTTTGTCTCACTCAAGATCAGTCTCAGACCTTAACACCTAAGATAGTTCAGATAATTCCTTCTCCTCTTCACCAATTCAAACAACCAGTTTCCACTTTGTATCAGGCTCCATACCAGGTGCTGAATATACAGGGGGATGTGGTGTATGCAGAATAGGATGCTACAATTATTTTACTATTACATAGAGTGTTTTCTCTCAACATACCTATCTCTCGAGCAAGAATGATACTGCTGAGGCGTATTGGTTGGGTAGCTTCGGCAACGAGTACAGCTTTCTGGGAACATAATGTACCTTTTTCATATAAAGGCTCAACAGTTACTGCATCATGATGGGTGGAATGCCTGCCAGAACAAAATGCTTAAGAGTATGAAATAAGAATAAGTGGGTTAAAATGAACTTTTGGTGGAACACAGATTCTTTTAGTTTGTCTATATTACACACTACCAGGTGTATTTAAATGACACTCTTCAAAATAGAAACATATCTTAGGAAGCAAGATTTAAGTGTGGGTGCCCTAGCTGGTTTGGCTTAGCAGTTAGAGCATCGGCCCGCAGACCAAAGAGTCACGGGTTTGATTCCACTCAAGGGCACATACCTGGATTGCAGTTCAGTCCCCAGCCTTGGTCCAGGTCATGTGGGAGGCAGCAAGTAGATGTGTCTCTCTTGCATCCATGTGTGTGTGTCTCTCTCTCTCTCCTTTCCTCCCACTCTGTCTGAAGATAAATGGAAAAAAAAAAAATCCTCGGGAGAAGATTTTTAAAAAGTACATTAAAAAAATATTTAAGTGGGACAGACTGATAGAACCTTTCCCCAATGATCCCAAGTGCAAAATTACATTCCTTCCTCAATGTTTAAAATTAGATTACTACATTCTTCCCTCCATATGTAAAAATAGGATTGATGTGTTTCCAATAATGAGAGAAGTGGGTTTCTCACACTCTGACGAATGAATTTCCTTCAATTCTAGAAATGGCTGCTGATATCTAAAATGGAAAAGTTGGAGAAATTATGAGGTGCATCCACCTAAAAAAATCACTAATATATATTTTTTTATCCTTACCCGAGGACATCTTTACATTTTTTTGTTCAGACAGAGTGGGAGGGAGAGAGAGGAAGAGAGAAACATCCATGTGAAAGGGACACATCGAGTGGCTGCCACCCGCACGACCCAACCAGGGCCGCGGACAAACTGCAACCAAGGTACATGCCCTTAGCGGGAACTGAACTGGGGGCTCTCTGGACCGCAGGCCAACGCACTAACCGCTGAGCCAAACCAGCCAGGGCTCACTAATATTTTTGGATGGATGGAATGATTTTCATCCTGGAAAGATTCCTTGCATCATCCTCTCAATAAGGAAATACATCACACTGGGTCATCTTACAATTATACTTCCCTTATACTCCCTCAAAAAATGGGATGTGAACTTCCTACCCTCTGAACAAACCCTGGTGCTTCTCTTAGGAGATGGTAAAAGGAAATTTACTTCTTTTAGGGTTAACCCTCTGATACCTTGGAGCCCAATTCAGTTAGGCTGCCTCACATCTTAAGTAACCACACAACTTATCATTGGGTCCTCCCACACAAAATCATGTCTTTCCATCCTCCGTCAGACAGTCAGCCCCCTGGAGTTGAGTCCCCCTTGTCCTCACAGTTCAAGAGGGTACTCCCCTGGCCATTGTGGCTCAGTGATTGAGCGTCAACCCATGTACCAAGAGGTTTCTGGTTTGATTCCCAGTCAGGGCACATGCCCAGGTTGTGGGCCCGATTCCCAGTGGGGGGCATGCAGGAGGCAGCCAATCAATGTTCTCTCTCATGGATGTTTCCATCTCTCCCTCTCCCTTCCTGTCTCTCTCTCTAACATCAATAAAGAAAAAAAAAAAATATTTTTTTTAAGATTTTACTCTTGTTTAAGGAGGTAAATATATTACAGGCAGATCTCAACTTCACCCAAAATGAATCTTTTCATATTACAAGAAGTTTATACTTCATGATCTCTGGGCCTCAGTTCCCTCCTCCGTAAAATAGGAGTAATAGTACTTACTTCACAAGACTACAAAAATTGAGTGAGTTTATACATGTAAAATGCTTAGTCAAGTACACAATAGTTTTGAGACGTCTTCACACTGAAAATCCCACCTTATTGAGTTATTTGGGACCCTTACACCCCAAGTCCTCACTCTAGTTGTTTACATTGGAAGTTATTCACATTGGGTAGTCCCAATACCAGAGGCCTCCTACAGGGGCTTCCCTGACCCCTGGAACCACTCCCACAGCGAAGCCACACAGAGAGGCCAGCCTCGGCATTTCTCTTAAGGTCTCACACATGACCTTAAGATCTCCCACACAAGGGCAGGCCATATCCAGAATCTGGCCATTCCACCCCACCAACACCCCACCCTCCTCCCTGAAGAAAAGTCGCCAAATGAACACAGCAGTCCGGTGGCCCCTCCTATCCTTATTGGGTGGTGTGGGGATGTATCCTCTTGTGACCCACAACCCCTCACCAAGTGTAGCAGCCCCGCTGCGCCACCAGCAGGAAGGGCACTCGGCTGGACTCCCGACCGAAAGGTAGCAACACCTGCGGCACATTAAGCTTGTTGGCCGGGGTCTCAAGCAAAACCAAAAGCAGTAACAGGAGGCGATGTAGAGGCAAGCAGTAAAACAGTCCCAAGCCTCGGGACCCTGGTGCCCCAGGGCCAGTCATGGCGACTACTGGGTTCAGGTTCCCGCTCCACTACAGCCACGCCCTCCGCCTCATTAGCCAATCCTCAGGCGTAACGCCAGCAGGAGGTGGGGCTTCCTCCTGCCTCAGAATTGTGGGAATACCTTTATTAAAAGCTCCAGCAAAACGTGGAAACTTTGGGCACGAATCACTTAAATATTGTATGGCAGATCTTTTAGAAAAGTCAAAATCAATTAGAAAAGTCTAAAAAATTTTTTCTCCCAGTTTAATTTCTTCTGTTGCCTGCCTTATTTTTCACCTAGCCCCACCCCACCCCAATTATTGGGAGGCAGTAATTTCCGTTCAGCACTGGTCCTTGCCTGTTAACGTAAAAATTTCCAGTTTTGAGTATGAACAGCTAGCTGGTCGTTGTCAGATTCATGTCCAGCCTCATGGCCAGGGTGCAGGACCTGCCAGCCACTTGGTGTCTCTAAAAAGGGCTGGTAGATGATTATTATTTCAAATCTTCACATTCACCTGATAATACATGTTACCTTTATTTTACAGAAGATGAAACTCAGTGTTATCAGGACAAAACTAGGAATCTCAGAGCCAAGTTTTGAAATCAGTTTTGGTCTGCTGTACTCGAAAGTCCTGTCACTACCACCTACAAAAATCTGATTTTTAACCCAAACCTCAGTTCCTGTGGAGAAAGCACACTTGGATTAGTAAATAAAAAGTCAAGTAGAGCTGAGGGTTGGAGGGACTGGTTCTTTATTTTAAAAAGATACTTATCAATTTTCAGTATCAAAACAGTTGCACTATTGGTTTTCTTTCTCCCAACTGGCCCCCAAAGAGACCACACCAAAGGAGAGTACATTTTAAGTCAATAAGCTGCAGGATGCGCACCTAACAGACCTCATGGAAACCTCACCAAAAATGGGTTATTGGGCAGGGAAAGAAACTTTTAAAGATCAGCACACTGCCAGCCCAGACTGTAGCGAACTTCACAGCCAGATGGGGTGGCCAGTGTACCCCAACCCCAAAGAAGCAAAGTTTCAAAATAATACAAAATTTAAAAAGTTTTGTACATAAACTATTCAAGATTTCTCCAGCACTAACTGATACAAAGCACAATGAGATGGCACTTTTAGAGACAGCAGCTTCAGACCCAGAGAAGGGTGATGAGATGAGTTTCATATGGCTAAATCAGTGGCAAAAACATAATTTTCTTTCTTTCAAGGAGGCAGGAGAGCAAATAATTGGTCACTTCAACATAAGGGGCACATGATCCATTCTGTGAACCACTGGGAAAAGTGTAGAAATGGGACAAGGATTTGGTCTCAGACAGAGGTCTCATCATTTTAATGTATTTGGTCACTTCTGACGGGGGGGACGGGGACTGCCCAAAGATACCTTAAAAGCTGAAACCTGAACATCTCTGTTTTTTTCAGGGGGGTGAAGGGGGGGTGCTAACTTCTCCTGGAATCACCTTTGATTTGGCTGGTACTCTGCACAAAGCAATGATTCCCCATAGTAGAGTCTTTCTCTGGGCCCTGTTTGGCTCTCAGTAAGGCAGGCCCATACTTCTTTTCCTCCTCTATGGAGAAGACAACATGGATTAAGATGAAATTACCTCCTAAAAGTGAGAAAGAGATTAGACCACTTCTTGACAACTGCTGAATTGTTTGGAATGTTTTACAAATGTTTGCCACATCAACAACAAAAAAGGTAATTACAAAGTGTGTAAATCACAACATGCTTTTAAAGACACTTGGCATTGTGCTCACATTCCCTTAAATGTTGTTCCCAAAGGTGCTCAGCCTCTAGCCCAACCAGAATCTGAGGAGAGGCAGAGACAATTTGGCGAAAAAGACATGGGTGGGGGATGGGAGGCAGTGAAAGGAGAAAGCAGCCTTCCAGTTTAAAGATCAGCCCTCAGTTTAAAGGTCAGCTTCAAGCAGGCTGGCCTCAGGCGGAGTCAGGGTCAGAGGGAGGAGCAGCGGCAGGGCGGGACTGGGGTGGCTCTACATCTCATTCAGGTCAAGCAGAGTCTGGTCCAGCATCCTTTGTGTACAGAGGTGTTCCTCTTTGGTGCATTTCAGTTTATCTGATGGGGGCAAAGGAGAGACATTACAAAACCAGAAGTAAATTTCAAGGTCTACCCACTTTGAGAATTGCTCCTGTTGCAGGGAAGCTGCAGACCAATAAAGCAGTTGCTTTCTCAGCCACACAAGTGAGCTATTGCATCACTTGGTTTTGCAGGGCCTCTGGCTTGCCTATTGAAGTTGCAAGCGCTGCTGTACTTCTGGGGGAGTTGAGAGCCTTATCAGTCATTTCCTCTACCTCCCATACCCAGCCAAGCCTTATAGCTTTCACTCCCCAAAGGAGGCAGCCTTAAATAGCCATCCACTCCTTTAGATTTTGCCCAGAGAACAATACCTACTTGAAATGGCTCACTGGGGTTTGACCATAGAGAATAAGAATGTGTATGTATATTTCTACTAGTAGAAACATCAGGATCTCAACTTGAAAAGAATACAGGGGGATTCTCATGAACTATAAGCTTTCCCCAAAAAGTAAACAGGAAAGGAATAATTGGTGGGATAAATAGAAGAACCCATATAGTTAAAGAATCTCTTTTAAAGAAAACAAAGCCAAGAATACTACCAAACATATATGTGTAAGCAAAACCTTGAGATTTTTGCAGTTTTTATCCAGAACTAGCCTGTGACACAGTTATTTAAAATTAAACATAAAACAAACAAAAAACCCCCATAAAACTAGAAAAAGCAAGAGGGAAAATGGCAGGAAGAAAACCAGCAGCGGGACATCAAAGAGAATCTAATCTACTCAGAAAGTAAACCTCTTTGACAGCTCTAGGGTGGGGGGAAAAACTCAAATCTTCAACACAGAGAAGGTGATGGAACACAGACCTATTAATATCCCAATGCCCTTTTCTTTTCCTTCCTCTTTTGCACTGTCAGAAGGGCCCATCACTGGGCCTGCAGATGAAGCAGTTACAACATCTTGTCAAATCATTCCTTTTATTGTTAGAAAACATCCATGCAAGCAAGGGAATGTATCCTACAGCCAGTGCACAAGTGAAAGAGCAGCAAATAAAGGTATAAAGCAGAAAACTCTCCCAGGTTTTCTCACTATAATCTCTCAGGCCCATCCCTTCATCACCCACAATCTCTTGAAAAAGGGTAGAAATGAAATATTAAACATTCCTACTTTACAGTATTCTTAGGAAGTCAACAATATTCTAACTGCTCCTATTAAAAAGCAATTTGCTTAGGGCAACTTAGTAACTTTAAAAATGACAATCAGGTTTTTTCTGGGGTCCAGGTCAGTGATGTGAGCAATAAGCTCGTATTAATGGGCACCAGGGAGCCCTGACATCAGTCACACAGATCATGCAGCGTTAGCTTCAGTTCATTAGAAAGCAGGTGGTTTCGTTCAAGTTGGCTGTAGAGACGCTCTGCAGCAGCAACAGGAAGGAGAGAAAACAAGAGAGAACAAAGAGGAGGAGAAAGAGAAAAGGGGAAGGTTAGTAGAGTACCAAATGTAAATTTGAGACTTTCAACTAGCTGGCATAGGTAACATGCATCTATAAGGTAGAATGATTACAAAAACGATTCAGACAGAGGGCAATAAGAGTCAAGTTAGTTGATGAAAAGACCAACAGAGGACTAAAATAAAAAACTCAGACTGACAAATTGAAAGGACAACACTGAGGGAGAAAAAACACATACACAATATTATACTTCCTGGGCTGAAAAAAAACAAGGGCAAAGAAAGGAATACAGCTGAAGTATAAGAAATATATTTATAATAAGGATTTGAAAGGACCAAAGTGAACAGTTGAACATTTTCCTGTAGAAGTATTTAAAACAGCATTATGAATGGCAGACTGGGACAAACATCCCTATACCCACTCAATCCTACACTTTCTAATACTTCTTCTTGTAGGCTATGGAATAGACCTCTCATAGTGGTTTATTCAATTAAACCCAACTTCCCCTTTTCTTTTCTTTTTTTTTTTTCCTCACTCGAGGACATTTTACCATTCTTTGTACAGATAGAATGGGAAGGAGAGAGAGGAAGAGAGAGAGAGAGAGAGAAACATCGACGTGAAAGGGACACGAGTGGCTGCCACCTGCACGATCAACCAGGACCGGGAACAAACTGCAACCGAGGTACGTGCCCTTAGTGGGAACCGAACCCGGGTCTCTCTAGACCGCAGGCCAACGCTCTAACCGCTGAGCCAAACTGGCCAGGGCCCAACTTCCCCTTTTCTTAAAAAAAAAAAAAAAATCTGTTAGGGTTAACAGTGTGCCCAACCCCATGGAAGGTGAGTTACTGGTACAAGCCAATCAAAACCATCCTATTCTGCCCTGGCCAGTTTGGCTCAGCGGTTAGAGCGTTGGTTGGCCTGCGGTCCAGAGAGACCCGAGTTTGGTTCCCACTAGGGGCATATACCTTGGTTGCAGTTTATCCCTGTGTCCTTTTCACGTCGATGTTTCTCTCTCTTCCTCCCTCCCACTCTATCTGAACAAAAAATGGAAAAATGTCCTCAGGTGAGGATAAAAAAAATAAAAACAAAAAACCCCATCCTACTGTTTTTTTCAGACTCCCTTGCAGCTAGGGGTGGTCATGTGATCCAGTTCCGGCCAATGAGATATAGGGAATAACCTGCTGGGAGTTTCTGGGAAAATTTTAGCCTTCCTTCTTGCCTTTGAACATGGATGGATGTGACGACTAGTTATGTATTTCAACCTTAAAAGACCAAAAGAATCACAGAAGATTCAGCTACATCAGGCCATAGTTGCTCAAGTCCAAACTTTTATTAGGCAATAAAAATAAATCCCATACTTATTTTAGCTACTGTTAAGCTGTTTCTTACAACCAAAGCATTCCTAATATAAGTAGTTAAGTGCTCAAGTCTCTTGGCTTTGTCTGGGTTTTCTACTTGGAGCACACCTAAAAGAGAGGGTACAGAAAACCCAAATCCATCTGACCAGCACAGGGGTAATGGAAATTTGTATCAGCCTCTTTAGTTCACAAACAAGTTTCTTCCTGTTTCAAAATTGTCTCAAGATGTCAATATGAAAAAAGATAGTTTTCTGCCAGAAAAATCAATTGGATTTGGAGGCTGACTGTAGGCTTTGTTCAGGCACCTTGCCTTCTGGGCTGAGGTTTTCCCCAGCTTCACCTGGAAGCTGAGGTAGTATGGTCCCAATAATGCTTTCCACTTTATATACACTATCAAAACAGAAAGCCTAACCCTGGCCAAGTGGCTCAGCTGGTTGGAGCATCATCCTGTAAACCAAAAAATTGCAGATTTAATTCCCAGTCAAAGTGCATAAGGGAGGCAGGCAACCAATTGATGTTTCTTCCCCCCATCCCCCAACTCTTCCTCTCTCTCTAAAATCAATAAAAACATATCCTTGGATAAGAGTTTTTATTATTATTATTTTTTATTCTCACCGGAGGACATTTTTCCTTTCCCCCTTTTTTTTAATCCTCACCTGAGGACATTTTTTCCATTTTTTGTTCAGATAGAGTGGGAGGGAGAGAGAGGAAGAGAGAGAAACATCGATGTGAAAGGACACATCGAGTGGCTGCCACCCGCACAACCCAACCAGGGCCAGGGACAAACTGCAACCGAGGTACGTGCCCTTAGTGGGAACTGAACCTGGGTCTCTATGGACCACAGGCCAACGCTCCAACCGCTGAGCCAAACCGGCCAGGGCTAGATGAGGGTTTTTTTTTTTTAAAAAAGAAAGCATATGTGTATGAAAAGATCCTGGGAGAAAATACCCAAAAATTAATAGCTGCATTTTAAGGAGCAGAAATTATAGTGAACTTTTAAAAAAATGTTTTCATTGGATTTTTAGAGAGGGAGAAAGAAACAGCGATGTGAGAAAGAAACATGGATCGACTGCCTCCTGCATGGCCCCTACTGTGGATCGAGCCTGCAGCCTGGGCATGTACTCTGACCAGGAATTGAACTGGGACCTCTGTGCATGGGATGATGCTCAATCCACTGAACCACACAGGCCAGGCTAGAGTGAACTTTTAACTAGAGGGCCATACAGATATTTACTGGGCAGGGGACAGCAATAAGAATTGTTCTGTACACACCAGGATTACACTGGACTAAATAACAAAAGTCCACCATTGAGAAACACTATACTAGTTTATGAACTCCATGAGGCCTGGGATTGGACCTGTCCTATTCACTTGGACACCCCTTACATAGATTTCATGTGCAGCCTGACCCCTCTGAAGCAACCATATCCAAGTTAGTTAGTGTGACCCCCACTCCTGTCTTGGAAAGAAGGTGTAATCAGAATCTTATCCCTCAAAACAGTCTAGTCAATGACGGTTTTGTTCCATTTAGAAGAGAAATAGTGACAGAGAAGTGGGAGCATTTTATTGCCTGATTAATTCCCAGAACACACAGTTCTCTAATAATTGCATGAGGTCAGAAAGATAAATGTGGTTGTTCTCTCACAGTGAAATGAATAAGTCAAGTTTCTAACTCTGCTATCTCTGGTGACTGAAAACTCAGGATTAGATATCAGCTTATCAAAGTTCTTGGTTCCCTGATAACACAAAATAAAACAAAAAGGGCAACTCAGAGAATCCATTTGGTCTGCTGTGCCTAATTAATTAGAGAACAATCTCATGTATGCTGGACATCCTTAGGATTCAAAGTCTGAATTAGGTCCGTTTCATTCTGTAACAGGAAAGGGACCAGGGGCTCAGAGTAAAGGGAACTATATCAACTTTAAAGCTTCAAAGTTCAAGGAACGAGGAAGAACAAACAGATTTTGCTTCTGTCCCTCTGCCCCCCCCCGCCAAAGTTAAAGCCGGGGAGTATTCAAACAATGCTACCCAAAAAGGAAGAGAAGCTAAGATAAGACTGCCTAAAATAACAAGTCAGTTTCACCCATCAGGTAATTTGGGGCCATGTTTTGTTCTTTATTCCAACAATGGTAATGAAGAAGTAAAAAATACACATTATCAAACTGTGTTTTGTTTTTGTTTTTTTAATCCTCATCCAAGGACTTTTTTTTTTTGCATTCATCTTCAGATAGA